CAAGCTGTAACTAATAACAGTTAAATAATATCACAAGCAAGAGAGAACATTAAGCTTATTATCATTATTTCTTTAAGGTATCGTAATCACCTGCTCAGTAGACATGTTTGTGTTTCTGTCATTGGGTGTGCGATAGCTGCTTCAAGCAGATAATTTCAACATGAAGAAATATTCATCTTACCATGCATCATTCTTTCAGTCATGTTTAGTTATCACCTGCTCAACAGACATGTTTGCCATTTTGTCACTGGGTATGTGATAGCTACACCTAGCAGATACAGTTTTCACGTGTAAACATTTACCACATTGTCATTGTTGCTGTAAAGTATTGTCATCACCTGCCTGCTTTGTCATTATTTTACTGTGTGAGTTTGTAGCTGCATCTAACAGATACCATAATTGTGTGGAAATATTCACCTCATTGTTATTATTTCTGTAAGGCACAGTAATCACCTGCTCAGTAGACATGTTTGTCATTCTGTCACTGGGTGTGTGATAGCTGCATCTAGCAGATAATTTTAACGCGAGGAAATATTCATCTTACCATCATTCTTTCTGTAAGGCACAGTAATCACCTGCTCAGTAGACATGTTTGTCATTCTGTCACTGGGTGTGTGATAGCTGCATCTAGCAGATAATTTTAACGTGAGGAAATATTCATCATACCATCATTCTTTCTGTAAGACACAGTCCAGCAGATACTGCCATAATGTGAAAATAGTTATTTAATATATTATCATTATTTCTGTAAGGCACAGTAATCACCTGCTCAGTAGACATGTTTGTCATTCTGTCACTGGGTGTGTGATAACTGCATCTAGCAGATACTGTCGTCATGTGGAAGTACTTAATTTATTATCATTATTTCTGTAATGTACAGTAATCACCTGCTCAGTAGACATGTTTGTCATTCTGTCACTGGGTGTGTGATAGCTGTATCTAGCAGATACTGTCGTCATGTGGAAGTACTTAATTTATTATCATTATTTCTGTAAGGTACAGTCATCACCTGCTCAGTAGACATGTTTGTCATTCTGTCACTGGGTGTGTGATAGCTGCATCCAGCAGATACTGCCACAATGTGAAAAGAGTTATTTAACATATTATCATTATTTCTGTGAGGTACAGTAATCACCTCCTCAGTAGACATATTTGACATTCTGTTACTAGGTGCCAGGGGCGTAGCTACCGCCGTATCAGCCGTATCAATGATACGGGGCCCCCGGGCTACAGAGGCCCCGAACGTGTGTAAGCAAACATTCTAAGGACTTCTATGGGACAGGTTGTTGGTTTGAATTGTTTGGCTTGCTTAGTTCCTAGGAGTATTAATTGTAAGTAATAACTTATAATCAGTATATAATTATTTTAATTCAATGCGAGAGTTTTGTTCCTTTTGTGAAAAATCTTTATCCTTCACTTAGGCCCTCAACAAATTTTGATACAGGGCCCCTCTAAGGCACGCTACTCCACTGCTAGGTGTATGATATCTACATCTAACAGATGCTGACATCATATGAAACCTTAATTTCATTATTTTTGTAAGGTACAGTAATCGCAAGCTTAGTATTGCCGTCACTGGGTGTATGATAACTCCACTTAGCAGTTAGTGTCACCATGCGAAAATATTATACGAAATATAATTATTTTCTGTAAGATACAGTTATCACTTGCTTAGTAGACATGTTTGTCAATCTGTCACTGAGTTTGTGATAGCAGCATCTTGCAGATACTGTCGTCGTGGAAATATTCAATTCACTATCATTTTTTTATATAAGGCACTGTTATCACTTGCTCAATAGACATGTTTTTTATTTTGTCACTACATGTGTGATAGCTGTATCTAGCAGATACCGTCAACACATGCAATACTATACCTTATATTACTGTTTCTTCTATCCACGAGTTATACTCTTAGCTAAGTCGTCAATTGCTCAATAGACTAGTTTCTCATTATGTCTGTGTATGTATGTGGATTAATATCCTCATTTATGACATTTTTTATTATTTTATAGACAACAAATATTCACGAAATAGACTAAGAGTTTCAGCTGTCAAGTGCTCAGTAGAATAGTTGCTCATTTTGTCACTGGGTATATGATAGATATCGCTATGAGTTACTATCCTCATTTATAACATTTTTTTATTGATTTATAGACAAAAAATATTCACGAGTTACACTTATACCTTCAGCTGTCATGTGTTCAGTAACTAGTTGCTTATTCTGTCACTGGGTGTATGATAGCTATCGCTGTGTGTTACTATCCTCATTAAAGACATTTTTTTATTGTTTTATAGGCCAGAAAACATTCACGACTTATACTAATAGCTTCAGCTCTCAAATGCTCAGTAGATTAGTTAGCCATTCTATCACTGGGTGTATGATAGCTATCGCTGTGAGTTAGTGTCAGTGTTAGTGACATTTTGTTATTGTTTAGGCAAAAAATATTCACGAATTACACATTCAACTATGAAACGCTCAATAGATAAGTTGCTCATTCTGTCACTGGGTGTATGATAGCTATCGCTGTGAGTTCCTATCCTTATTTATGACATTTTGTTATTGTTTAGACAAAAATATTCACGAGTTACACTCATAGCTTCGGTTGTTAAATGCTCATTAGACTAGTTGCACATTCTGTTACTGGGTGTATGACGGCTATCGCTGTGGGTTACTATCATAATTTATGACAATCTTTATAATTAATTAAACAATAAATATTCACGAGTTACACTAATAGCTTCAGCTGTTATGTGTTCAGTAGACTAGTTGCTTATTCTGTCACTGGGTGTATGATAGCTATCGCTTTGAGTTACTATCCTCATTAACGACATTTTTTATAAGCAAAAATCATTCACGAGTTACACTCATAGCTTCAACTCTCCAATGCTCAGTAGACTAGTTAGTCATTCTGTCACTGGGTGTATGATAGCTATCGCTGTGAGTTACTATCATCATTTATGACATTTTGTTATTGTTTAGACAAAAAATATTCACGAATTACACCTTCAACTATCAAACGCTCAATAGACTAGTTGCTCATTCTGTCACTGGGTGTATGATAGCTATCGCTGTGAGTTCTTATCCTCATTTATGACATTTTTTATTCTTTTGTAGACAAAAATATTCACGAGTTACACTCATAGCTTCAGCTGTTAAATGCTCAATAGACTAGTTGCTCATTCTGTTACTGGGTGTATGACAGCTATCGCCGTGGGTTACTATCATCATTTATAAAAATCTTTATATTTTATTACACAATAAATATTCACGAGTTACACTAATAGCTTCAGCTGTCAAGTGCTCAGTAGACAGGTTGCTCATTCTGTCACTGGGGGTATGATAGCTGCCGCTGCGAGATACTTGCGTCATTTATGGCATATTTTTAGTTTTTAATAGATAACAAGTAACCACAGATACACTCATAGCTTCAGCTGTCAAGTGCTTAGTAAACTAGTTGCTCATTCTGTCACTGGGAATTTTTATTTTATAAACTGAATCTACGGTAATTAATCATCGGTATCTTCCTTAATAGCTAAGATATTTCAGTTGTGTAGTAAGTGTAGATTATCTATCCATATGTTTTATATTATACACGCTTATTCAACATTCATGATAGTTTTCCGATCTTTCCAAATGATATTTATTACAGTGTTAAGAGTTATTGTTGTATTTTTTCATTATAATATTTTAGAAAACGCATTAAAAATAATGTTTTTAATGCCTATTCAAAAATACAATATACAATATGATATTTTTGTTTAACAACGCCCTGTTTTTTTTTTTTTTCAAGTACTAGCAATGCTGAAACATTACTAATATTAACCACCTTCTGGTAAGCTTAATATGCTCGTGGTTCACGACAAAAGTCGAATGGTGGATTTGAACCCACAACCTTTTAGTTATTGGTGTGCATCCTTTTTTTTATAGGATAGGGTGACAAACGAGCACACAGTCCACCTGATGGTAAGTGGTTGCTGTGGTCCATAGACATCAACATCTATCCTTGTTTGCGAATCAAAATGCAGATGCATTGTCACCCGTGAGGACTAAGATGGAATGGAGCCTCTTTTCCAGTAAAAAGGGTCTCCGGTTCTCTACACTCACTATACTAAACACAGCGGTGTTAAACTGTTATTTTACGCCGGTATCCTGTGAGAGCGTGTTCCTTTTCCGGTCGGGCCGACCCATCCGTGCTACAACTATACTACTAATATAGCTGCAGCGTGGCTCTACCACGTACTCTTCCACTAGGTTACTGTCACTTGCATTGTATAATAGATTTGGGCTATCACGCTCCCTTTCATATATAAATTCTAGTTATTAAGTAAATGCACAATTGCAATTCTGCAATTATAAAATACTGGTTAAATCTACATGTAATAAGACAAATATAGTGTACGCAGGATGTTACTTATTAATTTATTTGGGTGTGTTGTTTATGTTTTTTTTTTATATATCAACATTAGGTTATATTAATATATTATTGTAACACTGACATCTTCATGGGCTAAATATAAATAGAAACAAAATTATTACTAAGCATTTCACTGTCCCGTGAGTTATATATGAACATTTCGAATGTTTAACTAGTGTCTCTTTTTGCGGACAGGGAAATTGTTTAATAGTTTCAGAGAAAACTTGTTGCATATGTATGATTTGTGGATGGTACATACTACATGCCACTGCTGGGCATAAGCCTCCTATATTTTCTTAGATGGTTTTAGGGCAAGGCAATATCCACCATGCTGTCCTTATGCGTGTTGTCGGACTTCACAATGATTTCCTTCACCGAGAACGCGGTAAAGCAGGACCTAAAATTGGAATTACAATTTCTTTGGTGACGACTGGAATCGAACCTGGAAGCGAGCACATAGTCGCTGAACTACCACGGTTCACATGCCATACATGCGTTTTGTTAATTTTAGTGCAAACCCGAAAAATCTTTCAACCAAGTAGAAGTTAACTATTTTTCTAATAAAAGTTCACAAGATTTATTCACACTTGCCTTGTTCGTGAGACAGTCTCTAAAGTCCTTCTTCATAACGGAGACGGAGACCCTGTCTTGTGGCCGCTTGGGTCCGCTTACTGAGGTGACGACGGTAGAAAGATCTAATTCCACAATCTGAAAAAAAAATTACTTCCATTTATCAAAATGGCTGGATAAATAAATTTAGTCCCGCAATGTTATCAGACAAGACAAGACACATTATACTAATGTGATCGTCATCTACATTCCACTAACAATCTTTTGCTTCGCATTCTAGCACATTCATCCCTCTTCTTCCATATATAATTCTAGGTTACAGCTGTACACTTCTGGAATACCTGACCTTTATATATTCGACGGCTCAGTGACTTTTTTCCTTCAAAAATATATTTAAAACTTGGAGCTCTTATGTTTCCCATCATAATTCCCGTACTTAATTGTAACTATCATACCTATCCGCAACTGTCATCATGTTGTGTTTTTATATTTTATTTATTTTTTCTTTTACTTAACTGTCTAGTTTTTGCCCTGTATGAAAATTATGAAGTCCTTGCCGTTAGGCTGTTTATTTTATGTATAATCTTGAAACAACACAGTGAAGTGATTTTATATACTATAAAGTTATAAACTGCAGAATAGTCAGACCTTGCGAACTAAAATAATTTCGTACCTTATTTCTTTGGATATTTTACTGTTCTTTGGGTCCTTTTGTGTATAACAAAGTTAATAAAATTATTCCAGTTCACTCCCTACATATAAACCAATGTAAAAAGAAAATGACAGCTTGGTTACTGACTCTAGAATATGATGAAACGGAAGATCTTTTAACAGTGCTTTTATTGTTATGTCAACCTAAGGTATTCATTGAATTATATTATTCAACTCGTACACACACTCACGTACACTGGCACCAATTACTAAAGAGATACATTAAAAAAAATATTTTTTGTACTTATAAGTAATATTAAGAAAAAGTTTGTAATTTTCCATAAAAATATTTTGTTTATTATGTGTGGGGATGTGGCGCCTATGCTGAAAAACAGGTTTTAGCCTAGTTCGGCAATGGAGCATCCATTTTTCATGTTTTAATTTTTTTTTAAATCTTGTGTAGTTTATAAAGTAGACAAATTGTTAACTGATATACAGTCGACTGTCGATAATTTAAAACATAAGGGATCTGAGAAAAATTTTAAATTACCAAGAGTTCAAAATAACAGGAGTTGAGATAACCAAGAGAAAGAGAGGAAAAATTAAGTAAAGAAGAGTTTGATCAAAATTCGTTATTCATTATTTTAAACATTTGAACAGAAGTCTCTGTTGTTTATGCAAAGAATCGACAGGTCTGTACAATTGTACATCTATGTGAACAGACGACAGGTCTGTGCATGATAAACGCTTCAAGTTATCGAGAGTAGGACAGCCCAGTCTTCAAATTATTGCACGTTGACGGGCAAGACAGTATTCCTTCAACTTCAAATTAGCGGGGGGACCAATTAATGTTGATTTTATTCAATTCATCGAGTACTTTTCAAGGGACTGGGAAAAATTTGAATTTTTTTTGACTGTTCGTGGAAATAAATATTATTAATATTGTTATGTATCCTTATGTAATCCTTATTCGCAATTCAGTTGTGCACTGGTGTGTAACTGCCTTATAATAAGAAAGAAAAAATTCCACAGAAATCATCGATCACTAATAAAAAACTAGATACATAATCCCAGGCAAAAGTTCTCTAAAAACTGTCGCCAGTTGTTTTGACGTAATTGAAATAAATAGACAACAATGTAAATTCAACCTTAAATGAAATTGCCTAAAGTTGTATTCAGAAAGCTACGTACAAATTAAAAGCACACCCAAATGTTTTTGTGTTTCTACGTGGTAGAGCCATGCTGCAGCGATATTAGTAGTATAGTTGTAGCACGAATGGGACGACTCGACCGGGGAATGACCACACTCTCACTGCTATGTTTCGTATGGTGAGTGTAGAGAACCGGAGACCATTTTTACTGAAAACGAGGCATTCCATCTTAGTACTCACGGGTGACAACGCATCTGCCTTTTGATTTGTAATGGAGGATAGATGTGGTGGACTGTGTGCTCGTTTGTCACCCCTATTCTATTAAAAAAAAAATTAAAAAAAAATTCGAGCGCGCGCTAATTCGGTAAGGACATTTTTATCACTGATTGTGTATCTAGTTTTTTATAAGTGATCGATGCTAGAAATAATATAATTTCCACATAACAGCTTCTGCAGGCGGTGCTAAGATATTCCCCCTTTTTTTTTCTTATAAAAAATGTTACCACCACACTAGTATTTTCTCCTTTATCGTGGAGGCAGTTTACGTACATAAATTGCACAATAACATACATCCAGACCTGGAACAATTACTTGTAGGTCACACAAATACTTGTTCCGTGCGGGATTTGAAGTCGCGGCCTCAGCGCCGTAACACATTGCTAAGCCACTGCGCCACGGAGCCGTAAAACTACTAGCGCAGACAAAGAATGGGATTTATAAACGGCGTTTCATCTATTCACCTCTCGCTTGCTCACCGATGCCGATGTCTATTACTCATTGCACACACCCGCCAGTACTTCATCCATTAAAGCCTATAAAACATAGGCCACACCCATACATTGCCTCATAGGGGGGACTTTGTCAGAGTTGACAGGCTTGGCAAATTGCTAACCGCAGTTTTTTTAAATATATATCTAATTAAAATCCCAAACCAATTTAGGTGGTGAAACTGAATTCTTACCTCAGAGAAGATCGGGTCCTGCTCGGTGTTGTTATAGTCTCGGAACTGCTTGGTGGCACGGAGGTAGGCCTCGATAGCTCGTATCTTCTCTTGTGAGCGATCTGTAAAGAAAAAAGCTTGCTTACTATCATTATCATCAATTTTACAGCACTTCACAAGTCCACTGGTGAGCATAGGCCTCCCCCAAGGAATGCTACAAAGCACAGTCCTTATCAAAGGCTTCAATGTATACGTACACGAGCCTTGCGACCTTAATACATTGCGTCACTAAGTTACGGTCAAATTTCCGTAACTCCTTTAGTCCATTGCAAGCGGGTGAGAAGATTAGTTCTTTGCGATGTCATTATTTATATGCGCACTTTGTCAACGTGATTAGAAGTTTACTTCAGGTAAGTTTTTTTTAAATGGTAAGGGTGAGAAACACATGATGGTACACGTATCTTCGATTAAGAATCATTATGTAGATGCGTTATCAGCCGTGAGGACTAAGATGAAATGCCTCGTTTCCAGTAAAAAGGGTCTCTGGTTCTCTACATTCACCATACCAAAACAGCAGCATTGAGCTGCTATTTTACGCTGGAACTCTGTGAGAACGTGGTCGTTTCTCGGTCAAGGCAAACCATGCGTACTACAACCATAATATAGATGCAGCATGGCTCTACCACGTAGAAAATTATGTAGCTTTATTTCGTATTAGCCTAAAAACAGTAACTGACGTAAATGAAAATACAACTGCGTGACATATTTACCATGCCAGCTACCCGCCAGCGAGATCCACAGTTGTGACACAGTTTTTGTTCTGAATTGACGCTCTAGTAATACACATAGAAGTCTTTGGTCTTCAGCCACCGGTATTCATCGACTTATGGATGTCTTACAGGTCGTCACTCCATCTAGTGGGGGGGAGAGGGCCTTACACGTTGCTAACCCGTACAACTCGAGAATCTTTCTTACCTATCGCTTCGTACTTTCAAACCGATTCGTTGGACAAAGTTGGTTCCTCAGGTTCTACTATGGCTATCCTCATTTAAATTTAAACGTCATCATCATTACAGCCCTTCACAAGTCCACTGCTGAACATAGGCCTCCCCCAAAGAATGCCACAAAGCACGGTCCTGAGCCACCTGCATCCATCGACTTCCTGCACATCTTACCAGGTCGTCACTCCATCTAGTGGGGGGACGCCCTACACTTCGCCTGCCGGTACGAGGCTGCCACTCGAGAACCTTTCTTCCCCATCGGTTGTCGGTTCTTCGAGCTATATGGCCGGCCCATTGCCACTTCAGCTTACTAATCCGTTGGGCTATGTCGGTCACTCTGGTTCTACTGCGGATATCCTCATTTCTGAGTTTATCACGCAGAGAAACTCCGAGCATAGCCCTCTCCATAGCTCGCTGAGCGACCTTGAGCTTCCTCATCCGGCCAGCAGTGAAGGACCACGTCTCAGTTCCGTATGTCATCACTGGCAACACGCACTGGGTGTACAGTCTCGTTTTCAAGTTTTGAGGTATACCTGACGAGAAGATGTGCCGTAATTTCCCGAACGCTGCCCAACCGAGTTGAATCCGTCGATTGACCTCTCGGTCGAAGTTGGACTTACCTAGTCGGACTATTTGTCCCAGGTAAACATACTCGTCAACAACTTCGAGCTTAGTGTTCCCAACAACTACCGGCATAGGTGTGACATGGACATTAAACATGACCTTTGTTTTGTCCATGTTCATCTTAAGACCTATCCGTTGGGAAACACTATTGAGGTCATTGAGCATAGTGCTTAGGTCCTCCAGCGATTCTGCCATAAGGACTATATCGTCGGCAAATCGAAGGTGAGTGATGTACTCGCCATTGATGTAGATACCGTATCCTTTCCAGTCCAGAAGCTTGAAAACGTCTTCCAACGCAGCGGTGAAGAGTTTCGGGGATATGACGTCACCCTGTCTTACACCTCTCTGCAATTGGATAGGTTTCGTACTCTGGTTCTGTACTCGGATAGCCATCGTAGCCCTACTGTACAAGCACTTCAACACTTCGATATACCGACAGTCAACTTGGCATCGCTGAAGGGACTGCAGCACCGCCCAAATTTCGACGGAATCAAAGGCTTTCTCATAGTCCACATACGCCAGACATAGTGGCAAATTGTACTCCTCGGACTTCTGTACAATTTGCCGAAGGGTATGTATGTGGTCTATGGTGCTAAAGCCTTTTCGGAAACCGGCTTGTTCGGGAGGCTGGAAGTCGTCAAGTCTGCGCGCGAGACGATGCGTAATGACTCTCGAAAACAGCACGTAGACGCGGCTCAGAAGGGAAATTGGTCTGTAGTTCTTCAAGAGAGCGTTGTCGCCTTTCTTGAAGAACAAGACCACCGCACTTCTGCTCCACGCCTCCGGTGTAATGCCACCATAGAGGACGGAATTAAAGAGCTTCTGAAGGACTTCAAGTACCGGTTTTCCACCCGCTTTCAGAAGCTCCGCTGTAATTCCATCCTGGCCTGGGGCCTTGCCGTTTTTAAGGTGCTGGAGAGCCATTCTAATCTCACTCAGACTGACGTCCGGGATATCATCGGAATAATGTCGGATAAGACTCGCTCTTGGATCGTTACTCACACTTGCGTGTGGCTCCAACGATGACGTGTACAGCTGCCCATAGAACCTCTCAATCTCACTCAAAATCTCAGGTGCCCCGGAAAAACTAAAAATTTAAACGTGGTAGAGTGCAATTATATTATGGTTGTAGTACGAATGGGTCGGACTCGACCAGGACACCAGGGTACAGGGGACCAGGGACCAATGGACTCAATGCTGCTGTTTCGTATGGTGAGTGTAGAGAACCGGAGACCCTTTTTACTGGAAACGAGGCATTCCATCTTAGTCTTCAGGGGTATAATGTAGATGTATACGTCTATGGGCCACAACATCTACTTATTATCAGCTGCACTGTGTGCTCGTTTGTCACCCTGATTCTATAAAACCAAGAACACTGACTGGTCTGCACGAGGTACTGCAGCGATCGCTCGTCCACTGGAAAGTGCGCGACCGTGGCACCGAACTCGGGACACATGTTGGCGACCGTGGCGCGGTCAGCGATGCTCAGCGCCGCCACGCCGGGACCGAAGAACTCCACGAACTTGCCTACCACGCCCAGCGACCGAAGATGCTGCGGACAATCAATATTTATTTCCTTAAAATACATTATATCCACACAGTTTTAGTCGATATGTTCTAAGATATTTTTTAATAATAAACCTCCTCCACGGCGACCAGTCTCAACGGAGACTAACCATTAGCGCAGGACATGATTATAGTGCACGAGTGTATGCGCAAGCACAGGAGCACTTTCTATTGCTTCATTCTCATAGTCCGATGGGACGGTAGGCCGACACGACCGGAGAGCGATCAGGCGCAACACCAACGGCTTTACGTGCTTTCCGAGGCACGGGGGTGAGACACCGCCACCTTCCTGACTCCAAACTGCTACTGAGAATTTCTGACAGAAAAACCCGTTAACTGATTGCGGCCTGCCCAGGGTTCTAACCCGGGACCTCATGATCAGCAAGCGCGTTTACGAAGACTTGACCAACGAGGTAATCGAATGGCGATGAACACTCTTACATCGCCATAACCCGGCAGAATTAACATGAGTAAGTCATTTAATAACAGACGTTTTGTTATTAGTAAAATATCACGACCTTGAAGTAACCGTGAAAGAAAAAGTACGAACTTAGGTGATTACCTCATGTTATACTTCATGTGGGGAAAAAATAAAAAACTGTGCGACTGCAAACTGCAACTGGCGATCTTTAGAAGACCTATATTCAGAACTTCAGCAGTTAACTATTGAAAGGCTGTAATGAATAAATAAAACCAGGAAGATACTGGCGCACATCTCCCGTCCTATTTTATTCTGTCGTCTCTTAAGAAGAAAGCTAAATTCTTTTATTTTTATTTTCTGCAGAACCAACAGCACTTTATAACATTATAAAACTTGATAAAGACCTCCAGACCGCAGTTGTGACTGCCTCGTTAGTCTAGTGGTCGTAAACACGATTGCTGATCATAAGGTCCAGGGTTCGAATCACAGGTCGAGACAAGAATCAGTTATTGGGTTTTTCTGTCAAGAAATTCTCAGTCGCAGCCAGGAGTCAGGAAGTTGGCGGTGTCTTATCCCCGTTCCTGGGAAAGCGTGTAAAGCCGTTGTTCCTGCACCTGATCTCACTCCGGTCGTGTCAAATTACTGTCCCATCGGACTATAAGAGTGAGGCAATAGAGAGTGCACCTTTTTTTTACAGGAGAGGGGGCAAACGAGCATGCGGTTCACCTGATGGTAAGTGACTACCGCCGCCCATGATCAACCGCAACACCAGGGGAATTGCAGATGCGTTGCCGGCCTTTTAAAAAGGAGTAGGCTCTTTTCTTGAAGGTCCCTAAGTCGTGTCGGTCCGGAAAAATCGCTGGTGGTAAACTATTCCACAAGGAAGTTGTGCGAGGAAGAAAACATCTTCTAAATCACACAGTGGTGGACCGCCAATCATCCAGATAGTGTGGATGGTATCGGGAGTTCTGCCGCGATGTGCGTTCGTGAAATTTGACGGGCGGGATTAATCCGAACAATTCCTCAGAGCACTCCCTATGGTAAATGCGAAAGAAAATGCAAAGAGATGCATCATCTCTTCGCAGTGCCAATGAGTCGAGCCGATCGGAAAGAACTCGGTCGTCGACGATTCGAGCCGCTCTGCGCTGGATGCTGGGGAGCCCCAGCCCAGAGATGGGAACAGTATTCCATGTGAGGCCGAACCTGCGCCTTGTAAAGTTGCAGGCGTTGTGCCGGCATGAAATACTATCCCGCTCTGCTGAGCACGCTGCTTGCGCATACACTCGGCCACTATGATCCTGTACTGCACTGATAGCTAGTCTCCATTGAGATTGGCCAACATGACCGAAAATTCGTTGTGGAGGACATTATTATTCATCGCCCTATTTCGACCGATAGCTGACGTTATAATCATCTCGTTTACGCCAAACAAAATACGAAGACCGGCAATATATCTGCTCCAATGGGGCAGGACCGCGCACCCACAGAATAACATCGTAATTTTAGTATTAAGTCCTTACACATGAAATTAGCGTTTTGTCGTACTGATCACTTTGATCTGAAATATCTCCTCTTTGGTAAAGAATTCCAAATTCAAATTTATAAATTCATTTAGCTGGTACATTTGAGTTTTGAAAACCGTCATTCATTTGTTTTTTCCTCATTATTTTTTTCTTTGGCGTCGCTTATTACCTCATATTTATACCGCACATATTAACGATTACGAGTTCTACCGTGGCACCAGAGCTGCAGAAACAGCTCGTAGGATCAATGATGTGTACGGCGCTGGTATCGCAAAAGAAAGCACGGTACGTTTTTGGTTTCAACGTTTTCGTTCTGGAAATTTCGACCTTCAGAACCAACCCCGTAGACGACCGGCGACTAAAGTGGAAAATGATGAATTAAAGGCTATTGTAAAAGCGGATCCATCACAAAGCACTTCAGAGATAGCTGCCGGCTTCGGGGTAAGTGATAAAACTGTATTAATTCACTTGAAGCAAATCGGAAAAGTAAAAATACTTGAACGATGGGTACCTCATGAATTGAGAGAATCGAACTTGCAAACACGCGTCGACTGCTGTGTTACTTTGCTCAACCGACACAATAATGAAGGGATTATAAGACGACTCATTATTTGTGATGAAAGTGGATACTGTACTATAATCGGAAGTGCTCGTCGCAATGGCTGAACCCTGGAGACCCAGCCAAATCTTGTCCTAAACGAAAATTGACTCAGAAAAATTTACTTGTGAGTGTTTGGTGGACTAGCGCCGGTGTCACTCACTACAGCTTTCTTTCTAAAATCTGGCCAAGCGATTACGGCAGATATCTATTGTCAGCAACTGCAAACCATGAAGGAAGAACTAGCTGCTAAACAATCAAGATTGGTCAATCGCTCTAGGCCACTGCTGCTTCACGACAACGCAAGACCACACACTGCACAACAAACAACCACTAAGTTAGATGAGCTACAATTGGAATGTCTACGACATCCACCGTACTCCCCGGACCTTGCCCCAACAGATTACCATTTTTTCCGGAATTTGGACTTCTTATAAGGAAAAAAAATCAAATCCGATGCGGCAGCCCTAACCGCCTTCAAAGAGTTTATTGTTTCTCACCCTCATAGGTTTTTTAGTAAAGGAATGAACTACCTATGAGATGGCAAAAGTGCATAGATAATAACGGTGCATACTTTGATTAATTAAATATATTTTAAAAGAAATTGACTTTATATTCCTCCCGTACAAAACGCCAATTTCATATGTTAGGACCTTATATTTAAGGAAAAATGATGTGTAAATGATGTTAAACTCATAAAATCAAGAATCTCACCTTGGTAATTGTCAGCACGAGGTCCGTGGAGGTAGCCAATGGATTCAGCTCCCCGACGAGTTTATATCCGACCACCTTCGGCAGCAACATGCTGATAGATTGACCCAACATCACTGCTTCTGCTTCGATACCTGGGATAAACCAAAATATACGATGAAATTGATCGTTTTCAAAAATATGAATTATTTTTAATTAAATTATATTATGAGACCTGTGTAACCATATAACATAACATAAACATAAATACTACTAAACTGCGGACTCCCATTTCGCACGGCTCTGACACACGTCCCTCGCCTACTTCGCATACTTGCTCGTCGGTTAAGGGTACTCTTAATTTGGCCCACTTGATCGATCAAATAGGGAGCAATGGTAGCTCAGATGGTTAGCGCCCGCTGTAAATTTCACAGTACGCGAGCAAACCGGGTTCGATCCCCGCCGGCACCAATGAAATTGTTAATTGCAATTTTAAGTGCTCATTTACCACGTGCTCGGCGGTGAAAGAAAAAATCGTGAGGAAATCTGCATATCTGAGAAATAAGAAAAAATATATGTATTTCGAAGACGTGTGAAGTTCGCCAACACGCGTCGGGGCAGCGCGGCGGATACTTCTTTGCCTTAAAACTCTCTCAGAAATGATGAGACGCCTGTGCCCAGCAGTGGGACGTAAATAGGCTGTAACTTTAACTTTTTGGTCGACCAACTTCCGTCTAGAGCGTCCCTTAGTGAATCTGCAGATGCACTTCGATACATCATATAGCTTTGACAAAAAAAAACAGAAAAATCCGCCGATATTATTCAAAACAAGCCCCGTTTTATTTTGGCGTAAGAAAATCCACCTTCACTATTTTATTGGGAGCGATATCATAATAGATATTCTAGGAAAAATAAGTCCCACCGGCTAATTTTTTGTCTAGGTGGATATCACCCTCTTACATATACCTGCCGCTAAGCTGTAACACACGATCGAATGTGTACGCACCGTACCGCGACCTTGGTGGGTCCGATGCTCGCAAAACACGGCCGGATCGAACCTTGAGTGCATAGAGCAATGTTCAGAGGTCACGCCTTCCTTATTTTATTTATTTTTTACTTGCTTATACATGGATTCCACTAATTTTACTGTCTTACAGCAATACAAGATTAAATTCTCAATAGTTAACCGATTCGTTGCGGCACCGATTTTCGACAATTTTTAGCTGTGGCGGCAAACATATAAACAAAATATTCCATGACACGCGTGTCAAGCGCAACGGCTTTGTGTCATCGGCCATGTGTAAAAATTGTAGTATAGTCTGTGGCCATCTACTGTACGTGTCTATGGTAGTTTTTATATTATTAAAAGTGTTTTCATTTAAATCAGTCCATAACCATGTTGTGTTTTGTTTTAATAATAATTGCAATGGTGCTACTAAATCCGCTAAATTATTAATAAATTTTCTTAGATAATTTACCATGCCTAAGAATATTTGTAATTCTTTCTTATTTTTTGGACTTTTTAAACTTACAATAGCTTAATTCTTTCAGGATCAATTTTCACAGATCTACCCCAGTGTCTGGCACAAATTTAACACCAAGCCAGTTAATGATGCAAAGAAATTTAAGAACTAAATTACCACTTCCTTTGGAATATTTAAACCCTAAATTAAATCATAACACAATCAGTCACTTTGATATAGTAATTGAAAGAAACAGATGTAAATATAACAGTACAACCAGAAAGAAAGATGATTTTCAAATTAATCAACTAGTTTGGTTTAAGAAAGATCCATACTCCAATGTTTGCTTATCTGGGAGAATCTTAGAGAAATATAAATTTAGATCATACAAAATAGAGGGTGATGACAAAGCAATATATATAAGAACATCATATCATATAAGATCACAATAGTATCAATAATTTGTGTTTAACAAAGGGTAAAAGGCTGAATGGGCACTCCATGGTTGATACTTATTTTGTGTTAGATAATGTAAATTAAGATAAGTAAGTTTTTAAGGGAGATTTTTTGTTTAATAACAGTAACAGGATTTAGCTAATAAGGTGTTTGATAAATTAACAAGCTTTTAAAGTCTTGTTTCAATCCTGTTCTCTATTTAGTAGATAATAAGCTTCTTTAGCATTGTTTTAAAAGAGGAAGATGTAGGATAGTCTGTGGCCATCTACTGTACGTGTCTATGGTAGTTTTTATCTTTAGCTCTCTCTCGATTGACACCGACCAACATGTCGGATTCTGTATCAACACGTAACTAAAATATAATCTATGAGAAGCAAACAAATCTATGATTTTATTGCGAACATTAAAAAAATAATTGCCTTTTTTTTACTATTTTCACTTCATCATTACAGCCCTTCACAAGTCCACTGCTGAACATAGTCCTCCCCCAAAGAATGCCACAAAGCACGGTCCTGAGCCACCTGCATCCATCGACTTCCTGCATGTCTTACCAGGTCGTCACTCCATCTCGTGGGGGGACGCCCTACACTTCGCCTACCGGTACGAGGCTGCCACTCGAGAACCTTTCTTCCCCATCGGTTGTCGGTTCTTCGAGCTATATGGCCGGCCCACTGCCACTTCAGCTTACTAATCCGTTGGGCTATGTCAGTTACTCTGGTTCTACTGCGGATATCCTCATTCCTAAGTTTATCACGCAGAGAAACTCCGAGCATAGCCCTCTCCATAGCTCGCTGAGCGACCTTGAGCTTCCTCATACGGCCAGCAGTGAAGGACCACGTCTCAGTTCCATAAGTCATCACTGGCAACACGCACTGGTTGTACAATTTCCTTTTTAGGTTTTGAGGTATGTCTGACGAGAAGATGTGTCGTAGCTTCCCGAACGCTGCCCAGCCGAGTTGAATCCGTCGATTGACCTCTCGGTCGAAGTTGGACTTACCTAGTCGGACTATTTGTCCCAGGTAAACATATTCGTCAACAACTTCGAGCTTAGTGCTCCCAACAACTACCGGCATAGGTGTGACATGGACATTGAACATGATCTTTGTTTTGTCCATGTTCATCTTAAGACCTATCCGTTGGGAAACACTATCGAGGTCATTGAGCATAGTGCTTAGGTCCTCCAGCGATTCTGCCATAAGGACTATATCGTCGGCAAATCGAAGGTGAGTGATGTACTCGCCATTGATGTTGATACCGTATCCTTTCCAGTCCAGAAGCTTGAAAACGTCTTCCAATGCAGCGGTGAAGAGCTTCGGGGATATGACGTCACCCTGTCTTACACCTCTCTGCAATTGGATAGGTTTCGTACTCTAGTTCTGTACTCGGATAGCCATCGTAGCCCTACTGTACAAGCACTTCAACACTTCGATATACCGACAGTCAACTTGGCACCGCTGAAGGGACTGCAGCACCGCCCAAATTTCGACGGAATCAAAGGCTTTCTCATAATCCACATACGCCAGACATAGTGGCAAATTGTACTTTTCGGACTTCTGTACAATTTGCCGAAGGGTATGTATGTGGTCTATGGTGCTAAAGCCCTTTCGGAAACCGGCTTGTTCGGGAGGCTGGAAGTCGTCAAGTCTGCGCGCGAGACGATTCGTAATGACTCTCGAAAACAGCACGTGGACGCGGCTCAGAAGGGAAATCGGTCTGTAGTTCTTCAAGAGAGCGTTATCACCTTTCTTGAAGAACAAGACCACCGCACTTCTGCTCCACGCCTCCGGTGTAATGCCACCATGGAGGACGGAATTAAAGAGCTTCTGAAGGACTTCAAGTACCGGTCTTCCACCCGCTTTCAGAAGCTCCGCTGTAATTCCATCCTCGCCTGGGGCCTTACCGTTTTTAAGGTGCTGGAGAGCCATTCTAATCTCGCTCAGACTGACGTCCGGGATATCTTCGGAATAGTGTCGGATGAGACTCGCTCTTGGATCGTTACTCACACTTGCGTGTGGCTCCAACGATGACGTGTACAGCTGCCCATAGAACCTCTCAATCTCACTCAAAATCTCAGGTGTCCCGGAAACGATGCTGCCACACTCTGTCTTCAGCTTTGACAGGTGGCTCTTTCTGGCAGACAGATCTCTGGCAAAGACTTTGGAGCCTTGGTTCCGCTCGATCGCTTCTTCAATACGAGCTGTATTGAAGTTGCGTAAGTCCCGCCGCATGCATTTGGAGATCTGTCTGTTCAGATGCCTGTATGCTGTCAAGTCTGATGAAGAATGTAGCTTCATCTCCCGTCTAACAGCCATGAGATTAAGAGTGTCATCGGAGAGTTTTTGTGTTCTTCTGCGGCGGGTCTTGCAGAACTTAGCTCCGACCGCATGGACAGTTTCCACGAGCTTGTCATTCATATCGTCCACTTCATTGCAGTCTTCTAGGCACTGAAAACGGTTTTGCAACTCGAGCTGAAAGGTTTCGGTACTTTGGATTAGAGCACGAGCGTTGACTTCATTAGACGAGACCTCTCCAACTTAACGTTTAGGTTCAGTGTGCCTCTAACCATTCGGTGATTGCTACCAGTTTTCACCCTCGCGATCACGGAGACATCACTGAACAGTTGTCGTCTGGTCGTCATAATGAAGTCAATCTCATTTTTTGTCGAACCGTCGGGGCTCGACCAGGTCCACTTCCTGTGGGGCCGCTTCTGGAAGAAAGAGTTCATCATAAAGAGTCCCTCTTTCTCCATGAAGTCGGCCAGCTGCTGGCCTCTTGGGTTCCGTTGCCCTATTCCAAATTTCCCTACTTTCAGCTCACCGTTCTCTCTTGTGCCTAGTTTTGCATTGAAGTCTCCCATTAACACCGTATATTGGGTTTTGGAGGAATGCATGGCTCTAGAGATATCCTCATACATTTCCTCCACCTCCCCATCGGGGTGTGCCGAGGTTGGTGCGTAAACCTGTATGACCTTCAGCGAATACCGTTTGGTGATTCTGAGTATAAGGTACGCAACCCTCGTCGACACACTCCCGATCTTTACAACGTTGTTAACGAGAGACTTGTGGACGATAAATCCGACACCTCCTTGGGACAGATGGTCGCCCTCCCGGTGATAGAGCAAGTTGCCGGATTCGAGGATTACCGTGTCCTCCCCCTCTTTTCGGACTTCGGATAATCCTATAATATGCCAGCGCAACTTGTCTATCTCTTCTTCCAGCTCCACGATCTTCTCGTCAGTCCTCAGGGTGCGTGCGTTGTACGTTGCCAGGTCGAGTCGTCTAAGGTGGCAACCGAACCTCCACCGCAGATTCTTAGCACCCCCTGCCCCGCCGTTACCATGGTTGCCACCGTAGCCAGGAATAGCGGGGCCGCCGGAGACTGGGGGCCGTCTCTTTGTTACATTCATAGAGGGGTATTTGCCGTAGTTGCCACGCTTGGCGAGCGGGTTGGCAACCGCAGTTTTTTTATTGTAATTTTGGCTATTATCAAGAAGATGCTGCTGACCATCTCCTGCCTGTTTCCCTTTGTCGCCTTTTACAACACCCACGGGAGGATATGGGGTAGTGGTATTCTTGACCGCCACTACACGAAAGTGTTAGAAATACAAATTTAGATCATACAAAATAGAGGGTGATGACAAAGCAATATATATAAGAACATCATATCATATAAGATCACAATAGTATCAATAATTTGTGTTTAACAAAGGGTAAAAGGCTGAATGTGCACTCCATGTTTGATACTTATTTTGTGTTAAATAATGTAAATTAAGATAAGTAAGTTTTTAAGGGAGATTTTTTGTTTAATAACAGTAACAGGATTTAGCTAATAAGGTGTTTGATAAATTAACAAGCTTTTAAAGTCTTGTTTCAATCCTGTTCTCTATTTAGTAGATAATAAGCTTCTTTAGCATTGTTTTAAAAGAGGAAGATGTAGGATAGTCTGTGGCCATCTACTGTACGTGTCTATGGTAGTTTTTATCTTTGGCTCTCTCTCGACTGACACCGACCAACATTCTGTATCAACACGTAACTAAAATATAATCTATGAGAAGCAAACAAATCTATGGTTTTATTGAAAACATTAAAAAAATAATTGCCTTTTTTTTACTATTTTCACTTGTTTAGACCTAATTAAGTTTAGTTGACATCAAACATCAGTAACAAACGGAAGGATACTCTTTTCTAGTGGATAACTACGTGTTTTTCTACGTGTTTTCTTTGAAATTGAGTGTGACTTTTTTATGCAGAGATTAAAAAACCTTTTGTACTATTTTTTGTTTTATAAAAAAATAATTTATAAAAGTAGGAACAGCTAAATCACCCTGGAAAACCTTGGTTTTTATTAAATAAAATTTTCAGCTAATAATAACATTTGTAAATATCAAACAATCAAAGAACCTTAATTTGGAAAAAAATAAGGTTTATGATTCATTAATATTTACAAATGTTAAATATTATTTAATGTTATACAAATCGCACCTTTAAAGTAAAACCGTTACTAAACGAAAATTTTCATGAATTGACTTATCAATGCCATCTATGTAAAATATACGTAAACTACAACATAAACTTGTCATTTTTGTAAAATATTGTATTTTACGCCACCTAGCGGTAAATTAAAGCGTTACTAAAGCGAGTTATGATCGGCTCGCGAAATACAATATTGTGTCTATATCAGTAAGAACATGTTCGTAGAAGAGTGATAACGGAAGTTTAAAGTAACAGTGTTATTATTTGGATATACACGGCTGTATGTCACAGAAAAGGTAAGTTGTTAATTTGTTTTAATAGGAAGTTTTTCAATTTGTTTGAACACAGTTTTTGTGTTATGAAATTACGCAATTCATAATAAAGTTTCATTGATAAAATGTTACTGTTTGTATAGTCACAGTTTGCTTTTTATTTTTTTTAGGTATTATTCCAATAAAGTTTATCTATAAAAAGTAACCATTTGTTTAGTTACAGTTTTACAATAAGTAAAGAGTAAATTAAATCATATCCTTGTTTACAATAGTGGGACATTTATGTTAGTCACAGTTTATTTCTCTACGCAACGTAAGTTTGCATAAAAATTTTAGAAGTAAAATATTACATTTTGTTTAAATTCCATCTAGTATTAAAATTTACTTCATAGTTTACGAAATAGTTAATAATAACGTTACATATTTCTTTTATAATCACTTTACTACTAATATAAATAAAAGTTGTACTTAAAGTAACTAAATTTATTTAAGTTAAAATGTCAATTATAATAATTATACGATAATAATAATAATAAAACCACTTGCTTCAGGTCATGGCGCATTTACGGAAACCACGTTTGTCACGCATTTTGGAGGCTATGGAATCTAAGAAAGATTCCGTAAGTACTGAAAACCCCAAACTAATATCCATGGACGACCTGGATTATAATTTTTCACGCGATGCAAATCCGATTACTGTCGATACTTGTAGATCTCCTTCTTTATTACAAGAACAAGCACTACCTCAGTCCGTTAGTCATACTATGGAAGCTGATGTTCAACCAGTTGATGACGGAATACCAAATCCATATTTGAGCGGTACTGGTTTTCAAGAATTAACTCCAGAAGAAGGCCTTACCAGACCAGGTCCTAGCAGTAGAGCAAGATCCAATTCAACTAGCTCGAAATCATCTTCAAGTTCATCATCAACAAGTTCATCTTCATCATCTTCATCTAGTGCGTCTGAATCGGATAAGGACTTTTCCCCTGATGAGGCAGATTATGATGCTGATTATGTACCAGCAACCCCACCTAGGCGTGTGTTATTTAGCCCAACTCCTCAAAATAGTATCTCTGTACAACTAGTTGAAGAAAATAATTTGGGTCCTCCAGAACAAAACAGAACTCCGAACAAACGAAGGCGTAAAGGATTTCCAAAAGCATCCGTGAGGCAAGATGCTAAAAGACTTCGTAATAGTGTGCAACAATATACTTCTGTGTCCTAGTTAAAAAAAGTCATGCCAAAGAAGCAGATAGGACCCCCATGTGGGGAAAAATGTAGACTAAAGTGCAGCGAATTGATCAAACAGGAAGGCAGAGAAATTATTTTTGACAATTATTGGAAAATGGGAGATTTATCTAGACAAAGAGATTATATTGCAAAGTGTATTAATGTTATAGGTGTACTAAGTATCAATATAAAGTACATAGTAGCAATAGAGGACCTAAACATTCATTTTCATTCGAGATTAACAATATTAAGCATCGTATCTGTAAAACATTCTTCAAGAACACGTTGGCCATTAATAATCGACCTATTGCAACTGTAATAGCAAAAAAGAACCAAGCGGGAACGATTGAAAAAGAAAAAAGGGGTAAACATGGAAAACAGTACAAAATAAGCTCAGATATAATTAAAGGAATAAAAAACCACATAGACTCAATCCCAAGAATTGAATCTCATTATGTAAGACAACAAACGACTCGTGAATTTATTGATGGGGGTAAAAACCTTACAGATCTTTATACCGACTACCAAACACAATGCTTGAGTGATGGTGTTGAAGCTGCTAAAATTCATACATATAGAAAAGTGTTTAATGAAGATTACAACATTGGCTTTCACACACCTAAAAAAGACCAGTGCGAACTATGCATTAGCTTTAAAAACGCTGTTGATAAAACAATAGAATTACAAAACAGATACGACCAACACCAGCTTGAAAAAGAATTATGTCGCCAGGAAAAGTCAAATGACAAAACAATGGTTAAGGAAAACTACATTGTTGCCTGTTATGACCTCCAGGCAGTGTTGCCTCTTCCGAAAGGAGATGTTTCTACTTTATATTACAAGTGTAAGCTCAATGTTTGTAATTTTACTATAAGTGAATTAGCGAAAGACTATTGTGATTGTTTTGTCTGGAGCGAGGTCGAGGCATTAAGAGGAGCCAACGAAATAGCAACGTGTGTTTGGAAGTATTTGACAAAGAGGGCATCAGAAATAAATGACAATAATTTACGAATCACATTTTATTCTGATAATTGCTGTGGTCAGCAAAAGAATAAGTTTATGTTTTCCATGTATTTATATGCCTTATCTGTTCTTAAAATTAAGTCTATTACGCACAAATATTTAATTAGTGGGCACACACAAAACTGTGATAGAAAAAGCCGTTAAAAAGTGCTTACGTTCTGGTCCTGTGTACACACCAGATCAATACGTGACCATTATCAGAACTACACGAAAGAAAGGCAATCCTTACAATGTAACCGAAATGTGCTATTCAGACTTTGTTGATATAAAAAATCTTACAGCGATATGCGGTGCTCAATTTTCAAAAAATACTGAAGGCGAAACAGTTAAAATGAGTGACATTAAAATAATGAAATTTGAAAAACATCAAGATTTCAACCACGTTGGCATTTATTATAAAACTTCCTACTCAGATACAGATTTCAAAGAAATACAATTCCGTAACAATCGTTCGTCTCGAACACGTACTAGCACTGATCTTCAAGATTTCCAGTTGAAGCCTTTATATCAGTCTAGATTAAAACTAAGTGATAGAAAAAACAGCGACCTAAAGAGTTTAATTAACAATAATATATTACCACAGAGTTACGCATTGTCATATTACAACAGCATCTTGTTTTAGCAATACTAAAACGAGATGTTATTGTAATAAGACAACTTATTATTGATGATTATTGATTTAGAAAAACAATAAGTATAACATTATTTTTAAGTTTTTTACGAGATTAATTTTTTATATAACATTTTATATGGCAATAGGTTTGCCTCATTATTCTAATTAAGTGATACCTACAAGTCAACATAACTTTGATTAGCCCTGAGTAGCTTTCGTGGATAGGGAAATAATACTGTGATTGTAACTTTGTGAAATTAAGTAAAATGCTATTTCCAATTGGTTTGTTCCTCATCAAACTGATTGTAAATGTAATAAGATACATAACAAGTAGTTAACCCTTTAATTCGTAAAGTTGAGAATACTCAACATTCGAAATAAATAAATCCTGTATGAAAACTTGAACGCGTAGAAAAAATATTTTTACTTTGAAAAAAAGGTGAAACGAAACGCAACTCGTAAAAAGAAAGTTGTGTGTCACAAACGTCAGATTTTGACAGTGGCGGCAAAATGGCATCACGTTCATCTGCACCGTTTGGACCTAAGGTAAATAAAATTTATTATTAGCAATTTAAATCATATTGATACCTATTATTGCCTTGCATTTCAATTTTAAATTATTATTTTATGCACGTAATGAAAAAAAGCCTGAAAATATTGTGGTTTAGTATGTGTTTGATGGTTTTCAAGTTGAATGTTGAATATACTCAACAATGCGAATGTTACTATTATTCACCTGATTTTTTCTATGTTGAGTATTTTCAACATTGCGAAATGCTTTAGGTTTTGTCCTATAACTTAACATGATGAGTATATTCAACATTGCGCGTGTACTAACATTTATTCCCCTCTTATCTGAGACCCTATTATTGTTCATTTTTCGCTTTGGTTTTGGATGCCCTACGTTTTTTGTGTTATTTTGCTTCAGAAAATGCTTAAATGGCAACGCACGCAAAAAATTATGGCGCTTGTACCTCCCGCAAAAGCACCCTCCGATGACAGCAGCACATCTGAAGATGAAGTTATAATCAATAATTACACAAAACCGAAAAAACAACAATCATCTGACTCAGAACACAACTACGAATCATCTGAACCACGTTCTTATCCCTCTGAAATTGATGACTTAAGCTTAGATTCACATTCCGAAGATGAGATTCCTGCGACGCCATCACCTAGGCCACTACAGCTACAAAATGAAAGCAAGTCATACTTACCCAATTCCAAAGAAAATTCTCGTCCGACGACGCCTCCATCGACAACTCCGCCTCAACAAAATGATTGCAACATACCTGAAGTACCATGTTCTGAAGTCCAAACTCCGATTTCGTCTGCGTCGATGCCACAAGATATAATGAATGATTCCATACTCCACATACCAACAATTCCCTTGTCTCCTTTAATTAACCAAATGTTTTCACCAGGCCCGTCAAATCAGCCGCTCCCATTCACACTGAATTCGGTCTCATCAGTATTATCACCTAACATGTCTCCAGCAGCACCTAATACACGTTCAAAGCGACGACAGAACACAAAACCTAAACACCCAGCGGCAAAAAAAGTAAAGAAGTTTGTAAGAAAACCTCTATCATTCAAATTCAGAGCAGGAAAACTACAGTACGCAGCTATATTTGAACCACCGAAACACGATTTCTCACCCGATCCACATCATTCAATCTTAGATTATTTCACTGACTTTTTTTCAAATGACATATTCGAATTAATAGTAGAACAGACAAACTTATATTCAGTTCAAACCGATTCGAGATCTATAAATATAACAAACGATGATGTGAAAGATTTCATAGCGATTACACTCATTATGGGGGTAGTGAAAATGCCCTCTTACAGAGATTATTGGAGTCGATTTTTGCGATATCCAGCTGTCGCTGATATCATGCCTTTAAAAAAGTATGAGAAAATAAGGAAATATTTACATTTCGCCGACAACAGCAACATTAACGACGACCGTTACTACAAAGTTCGACCAATTATTGAAAAAATTAGGCTTAATTGCTTAAAAATGAAGGAGGAACAACGCTACAGCGTCGACGAAATGATGGTCCCATACAAAGGGACAAGAGCGGGAAGTAGGCGCCAATATCTACCTAAAAAACCAAAAAAATGGGGGATGAAGTTATTCGTTCGAGCAGGCGTCTCTGGTTTAGTGTATGATTTCATTCCTTATGGTGGAGAAGACACGTTTAGAAATCATTCTTTTACTGAATACGAGGAGAGCCTCGGTCTTGGAGCAAAAGTTGTGCTAGCACTTTGCAAGACCATTGAGGATAAACCTGCAGTCGTATATTTTGACAATTTCTTTACGTCATTGGAGCTAATTCACCATTTGCGTCAAGAATACGGTATTTTTAGTCTTGGTACCATAAAAAGTAATCGTTTGAGAGGTTGTCAAAATAAACTACTAGCAGATAAAGTTCTCGCAAAAAAAGGACGGGGTGCAAGCTCCCAGATCGTCTGCAATGACACGAAACTTGCTGTTGTCAGATGGTATGACAATAAGCCGGTGACATTGGCTAGTTCATTCGTCGATTCCCATCCAATGGGAAAGATTCAAAGGTATTCCAAAGATACAGAATCTAGGGTGGAGGTCAATTGTCCTCAGATTGTGAAGCAATATAATGCCCATATGGGGGGCGTAGACTTGGCGGACATGCTTATCGCTCTATACCGTTCAAACTTTAAAACTAAGAGGTGGTACATGACCATGTTTTCACAATCTCTGGATATTTGCGTCAACAATGCTTGGTTATTACATAGGAGAGATCATGCTGATCCTAAAGACCGTTTACCTCTCAAAAAATTTCGGATACAGATAGTATCTGAGCTTTTACATAAAAACAGAACGAGGGTGACAGTGAGTCAGGAAAACGATCCTCCTAAAAAAATAATTACTCCAGCTGCTCCAAGACCGACTGATGCTGTACGATATGACAACAATGGACATTTACCCATGTTTGTGTCGTATGGACGGTGCAAATACTGTAAAAATGGGTACACAAATATTACTTGCTCAAAATGTATCCTCAGGCTGTGTCTAGTTAGTAAGAGAAACTGTTTTTATAATTACCATGTTAAGTAATAATATGTGAATTTGATTTTTTCTACTAAGGCTGTGTCTAGCCAACTTATTCTATGATTAATTAATAAGAAATAAAACTTTATTTGATTTTCTCTATAGTTTGTTCTTTTATTTTAATATATTAGTAAACTACCTTTACAAGGGCAATGTTGAAAATACTCAACGCTCAATTTATTAGGTAATGTTCCAATATGTCGCGCAATGTTGAGTATTTTTAACATACGATATTTGATAAAGTATACAATAATAATAATAATTTCTATTTTTTTTGGCTATAATTAGTCAACATTAATGCAATTAAACAGAAAAAAACATGTTTACATAACTTTTATTTTTCTGCGCATTAAAGGGTTAACATAGTAAGATACGTACATGCTGTGATTTAAAGGTACAAATTTCTCAAGACTGATTGATAAATAACTATGCCAAATGATTGTATGGATCTCTCTTTAAATTATAATAAAACACTATTAATTTTGGAATGTATTTTATTTGGTATTATTATAACACCACAGCAAATGCCAACTTTATGATTTTTAATTTAAATGTTAAATAATATTATTGTATTTATGAAATTTTGATAGTTTTCTATTTAGTAACATCAGTTGCACTGTAATTTCATAGTAATATACCATAATGAAAAAATTATTAATGGTAAAGTGTTACTATAATAATATAAATCAAAATAGATAATACTGTAAATGAAAAAAAAAATTACTTTCGTAAATCAATGTCTTAAAGAACCCTACACTCAGATTTTATTGACAAAAAATGGTGACTTTTTTCTAATATTGGCTCTCCTGTAAAATTTTATAATTTCGTTTAGTAACGGTTTTACTTTAAAGGTGCGAAATGTAAAAGTAAAGTCGATCTGAAAACGTCTAATTAGTAAGAATAGCAAAACTAGTGTTTTCAAAAGGAAAAAAACGCCGGCGCTGTACGGAGGCGGATTGACAAAAGGCTATTTATTAGCGAACCTTTTTTTATGTATGAACGGTTTCGAACTATTTCAAGCAAAAATAAACCTTATACCATATCACAAGAGCACATGCACTACTTCGTAGGTCTATTCGGGCATATGATAGTAATGTTACAGTTCAACGTACGTTTTCAAGCAAAACCATTTTAAGCAAAATTACACAATAAGAAAAATGCATTTTTTTTAACAGCAGACTTGTTTTCCAGGAATTCATTTACAACTTGAGTTTGTGAGCGATCGCAATGAGTGCTATTATTTGTTACTTATTAAACTATTTTTCCACAACATGATTTGAAACCCATAAAATAAAAAGAGTACCATGTACAAGTTAAAAAAAGGTTGTCAATCCCTAAAAAATTCAAATTTTCAAAATATCCAGAAACGAAGCTGTAGGCATGAACTACTTGCAAAATAATAAATATTTTTTTTCTGGATAATTGTTGGTTGCGTGTTCAAATCACGTCGGGGTCACCACTGTGGCGGGAAGAAGGCAAAGGGGAGATCTCCCGCCGGGCAAGGTGTTCTGCCCGGGAAGCAGAGCCAACGCTCCCATTTGTAGTTAGGAGCTATTCTATATATGCTGCTTTAACTTCGGAACTTTGTTAGTGCGATTTAGGCTTCGATGTGTTTGTTTCGCTTGTGGCGCGACGACAACGCCGCCACACTCCAGTTAAAAACATCTTTGTAGAAGAATCATCGAATTAACCAACGTAATGAACAATAAAGATAAAAAAATTTAAAAGTTAAGTGATTCCAACAGAAGACTAAAAAGACAAATAGTTTCTTTGAAGTCATTATTGGTAGAATTAGAAAACAAAAATTTATTTACAGCCGAAAACAATGACTCATTAAGTTCCTTAGGGGTCAAATGTGGTGAAATTATGCGTCGTCAAATATTGAAAGGAAAATCAGGCAAAATTGTTAGAAAAG